GTTCAAATGAATGGAAACAATTCACGACCATTAATTGATCAAAAAAAGTCAAAATTTAATTAATTTTGACCAAATAAAAAAGGACAAAATAGTAACTTTACATATTATCCATAAAACAAGTTAAAAAGAAAATTATAAAAAAGAAGAAGAAGAAAAAAAAAATCCCCAACCCAAACCAGAGAAAACACCAGTCACCGTCGACTGCCCAATCTGAAATCAGAAAAAAAAACCAACCACCGACGGCCACCCAATCCGCCAGAACTTCATCCCCTAGCCGACAGCCTCATTTCACAAACACATCTCACACAATTAATTAGACAAACAACATCATATGGAGATCAAAATCAGCATTTAAAACCATGGGAGTCATGCGGTCCAACAACAAAATTCGACAACTCAGGTAACATCCACAGTCGTGCACCACTGCCAGCCAATTCGCCTCACCTAGATGCTCCAATTCATGGTGAGGCATCATCCAAAACACTCCATTTGATACAGTTTCTTCAATATGCAAATGAGGTTCCAATTTCTAATAGGTTTGATTTAATTTTTTATTTTGATGTTTGGGTGGTGGCGACTGCTTTGGGTGGCAGTGTCGACATTGTGGGTGGTGGTAAGCTCCAGTTGATACAGTTTCTTTAACACACTACGAGGTTCTAGTTTCTTCAATTGTTAGGTTAGGTTTGATTTGATTTTTTATTTTGATGTTTGGGTGGTGACGACTGCCTTTGGGAGGCAGTGTCGACGTTGTGGATGGTGGTGGTGGCGGCGGCGGCGATAGGCGTTTGAGCCCACCAGTGTGGGTGAGAATTGGAAAAGAAGGTGCCGACCACCGAACTTTCAAATTTTCACGAGGTTAGAGTGAGGTGGGGGTGGTTAGGATAAATTTCTTTTATTTTTTGGGTTTTTTTATTTAATTTTATGTTAAAAAAAAAAATACAAAATTACCATTTTTGTCAATTTAAAATTAGTCAGAATTTTGGTCAAGGTCAATTTTTGGTCAATTAATGGTCAATTCGATTGTTTCCATCCATTTGGATGTTATAATAAAGTTTGCAAAAACTAAAAAGATTAAGGAC